GGACGAATTGTTTTTAAATTTTATAAAATGCAAACGAAGTCCGAAAATCATGAAACTTGTCGATAAGTTTGTGACATCTCGTACATGTGACATCTCGCACGATGCTTGTAAACCAAGACATCTCCACATGTGACATCTTGACAAGTTTCATGATTTTCAGACTTCGTTTGCATTTTATAGAATTTAAAAACAATTCGTCCGCAAGTTCGTGATCATGTTTCGTGAACAAGATGTTCAAAATTTCGGGTCCGTTCCTGGATACGGCCTCACACTACACTCAATACCATGAATATCATTTTTTTGAATTATTAAATTACATTATTCGATGCACGTGCAGTTCAAATTTGCATTTTCCAAAAAAAATCAATTAAATAAAATAAAATAACTAAATATAGCAAGCAGTTCGGGAAATGTACCAAATTTCGACATGGAGTACCAAGTACTGTAAGAGGACTACAGAAAAAAGTTTGGAGGTCAAAATACAAAAAAAAAATTGCCATTATTCTTTGCCGAGTGTCAGGGTCTGGCACTCGGCAAAGAAGTGGTTTGCCGAGTGCCTACCCGCTGGCACTCGGCAAACCTGGACAGCAGGCGGCGGCCGTTACCTGACGCCGTTTTTTGCCGAGCGCCAGGGTTTACCGAGTGCCTGACACTCGGCAAAAAGGGCCTTTGCCGAGTGCCTGACACTCGGCAAAGTCTTCTTTGCCGAGTGTATATCGTTGCCGAGTGCGGCACTCGGCAAAATAGCTCTTTATCGAGTGCCCGACTTTTAGCCCTCGGCAAAGAAAGTTGCACTCGGCAAAGGCCCTGTTTCCCGCAATGATAGGTGTCTTCTTGGCAAAGCAACCAAAAACTCCTATTGCTTGGAGAAAAATGAATGAGCATATTAGCGCTGAGTTGGAGATGAATCCAGAGCTTGGGACACTAAGAGCTATCCTTATGAAAAGCTACCATGGGTTACCATATCATTTGAAGTCTTGTTTCTTGTATCTTTCCATCTTTCCTGAAGATTACAATATTAGCCGAAGACGCTTGGTGAGCCGGTGGATTGCAGAGGGTTACTCAAGTGAGGTACGTGGCAAGTCTATGGGAGAAATAGCTGATGGCTACTTCATGGAACTTATTGAGCGGAGCATGGTCTTACCATCCTCAAAAGCAATGGAAGAAAATCTAGTTTTTAGAATGGAGGAAGGATGCAGCTCAAACACCCAAGGCACCATACGTCATCTTGCTATAAGCAGCAATTGGGATGGTGATCAGAATGAGTTTGAGTGCACAGTGGACTGATCTCGTATAAGGTCATTAACAGTGTTTGGAAAGTGGAAGTTGCTACGCGTGCTGGACTTGGAAAGCACCTTAGGTCTTGTTGATCATCACCTTGTGCCAATTTGGGAGCTCCTTCACTTAAAATACCTTTCATTAAGGAATTGTGATGGTATTTTTCACCTGCCAGAGTCACTTGGTAACCTAAATTAAGCAACTGGAGACACTGGATGTTACTAATACAGGAATAATCAAGCTGCCGCAGGCCATCACCAAGCTTAGGAAGCTACAATATATTCGTGCAGGGAATGTGGATAATAGTATTCTTGGTGCTTACTCATATGAACACTTCATGGAACGTATCCCGAAGCTAATCCGGAACAAGCTATATATGTGCGTGGACCCTCACTTTGATTGCCTTTTATCTCTCAAGTTGCAGCCTTAAGCTTGGGAAGTCTGCAATTAATATCGAGGTTGATGACCCAATAATAAATAGGCGTGATATGTGCACATTCTTTTGCTGCGCAGTGTTCCCCTTTTTTGCAAGGCTTGCAGATCCAGTTGGAGTTACAGTGCCAAGAGGGCTCAGGAAGATGAAAGCCCTGCACACACTGGGTATGGTGAACATCGCACGAGGAGGGAAGGCCATCCTACAGGATATTAAAAGACTCATCCGCCTACGTAAGCTAGCAGTGACAGGCATCAACAAGAAAAGCCCTGTTCGTTTGGGCTGGTTTGGCTTATAAGTCATGGCTGAAAGTACCGTTGGCTAGTTTGGTGTAAGAAAAAAAAATATTATTCGTTGGCTGATAAGCCATGGCTTATAAGCCAGATACGAGCAAGCGAACGAGCTTGCCAAGAGTTTTGTTCCACCCTTGCCAGTCTTAGCTCCCTGGAGTCACTGTCAGTGCGCTCCGAGGAGGAGGAAGGTCTACGTGACTGCTTGGATAGCCTGCGCACGGCTCCGAAGAACCTCCAGAGCCCAAGTTGTATGGCACTCGAGGCAAAAGAGCCCCGTCATTTATCTTGCCGTAGGGAGGCATTCCCCAGTTTGACAGCGCTGGATACCGGCATCGAATCGGTGCTGTTTGAAGAAGGAACAGCGCCTAAGCTTGAGCTGTTGCTTGACTGGGGCCGAATCGCTTTTTCTGGGCTATCATGTCTGCCGAGCCTCATGGAAGTTATGATCCATCAGCATGCGCCGTTTGTGGATGCCGTGCAGCCCCAGCTTAGCAGGAATCCAAACAAGCCCGTTCTGAAATTTTTTTGAGCTGTGCTCCACATGTACTCAGTCAGCCGCACCTGTGCTCTATTCCCTTTTTATTTACTTTTTTTCTGCTTCCTGCTTCCCTATTCAGCTCCATTTTATGTGTGTACCTGAAACAATGTTTCCTTGTATGCGTGTTAAATTAAACTTGTACGGTCGTTGTACCACTAGTGGCCTGGGTGTTTGATCTTGTGGTACCGATTGAGGAGCCTGCCTTTGGGCAACCAGTCCACCCCCAAATAAGTTGTATTAATTTCCTTTGTGTTTATGCATTTGGATCAGAATAGCTGGTGTGCTTTACTCTGCACTGCACTACTGCCGCCAGATGTTATGTAAGTGAGACATGTTCAGTTCATTCAATAATTCTATTCAAAGACTCCAGAGGCACCAGATGTTATGGATTACTTATATATGCTGGCATGCTGCACTAGGTGTGCACGCACCTACAATCCCTGGACATGATGTGTTGGTTGCCATTTTATCTGATGGCGTTGCATTGCATATATATAGTACTATAAGCTACGACATTCACAATCGCTGGACATGAATTTTTTTGAGGAATCTTCTTGACTTGGTGTTACCGCAGGAATAATGCTGTGGTGTGTGGTCTTTTGGCATGCTTTGTTGTTTGTTCTGCCTCAGTGTCGGATGTAACAGTGAAACATATGTTCATTTGAGTAATTCTACTGCAAAGAATCAGTATCATTGCCTTGTTAGTTTCGATTCCCCATCCTCACGTCTCTGTGTCTAGTATCTGTTATGTTGCTTAAAGCTCGTCAGAAAGATATTATGGTTTCACGAACATCAAATCTACAAAAAGTCGCCGTTGTTTGGAACTTCAGATGCTACTCTCTGATGAGGGGATGAATCGTGCACATTCAGTGGCTTACCATTAATCAATTCCGGCGAGGCAGCGACGATCTGTTCCTCCGCCGGGCTGGCCAGAGAAGCGGACATAGGATTGCACAGTTCTACATTTCTACCTGTTTTTTAAGGGCAATATATCAGGTACAAATCAACTAACTAAACAAAATACGCATGCGCTAGACGTTGATCCCGTCAGCCCTGTGAGAGGGCTTCGCTCCGGGTGGGGGGCCAAAAAAATCTCACTTCTCACCCCATCCATTGGATCAGCATCTAGTAATCCTAATCGGTAGTTTCTAAGTTTGCACAAGGTTGATTTGCACCTGATACGTTCCGTTTTTTATGGGGAAAAAAAAGGGCGCAGAATTCTGTTGCGTGAGAGAAAATCTGACGCCATCCGTGCCGGTCTACCGAGTCCAGATGCGTTTCGGTTCTCCGGCGGCCCGGCCCAACTAGCCACTAAACAGAATCGCATGCGCACGCCCTCCCGTCAGCCCTGCTTCGCTCGGCCTCCCCAAACCATCGCCCGCCGCCGCGCCGTTGCGGGAGCTACTAGGTCCCGCACCGAGGTTGTCCCCTCAAGCGGTTTCTAGGCGCCTCACCGGCCCTCAGGCGGTTATTTTCTTTTCCCCTCTTTTGAGCGCCCCTAGGGTTTCGTTGGGGATTTCTTCGTTACGTGGCTTAACCATGGGATGTCTATCAGCTTGCCCATCCGTGATTCAGCCTGGGTATAGTACGCTGTGTATTGGCTAACTTCATGTGTAAGGGGAATGTTTGCCAAAATAGTGTCTTATACTTACATAATGCATTAACTTTTTTATTTATTTATAAAATGCTAGATTTTGCTTCTTGGTGAATGAAGAACGTCAGATCATCACAGTCCAGTATTTTGATAGCCATTACACTGAACTTATCATCCAAGAAGCATTGTTTGCTTGGCTGGTAAATATTTGCTTATGTAATTCAATATAAATGTTACCTTTCAAATCATAGTTATTTCATATACACTTCTTCAGAATCAGTACCATTTTGTTACAAACTGCTTCTGAGTCTAGTTGAGCCATGAAAATTTCTCATGCCTAATTTTAAATCACTGCAAAAATCCACCACAAAAAGATTTAAACTATTGTTGTGAAATAGATAAAAATAGGTTCTTGTTTTGAGTGTAAAGTCTCTCTCTAGCTGGTTTCCGTTTTAACTAACAGGGGACGCTGGGTGTAAATAGGGAGTTGTATTTGCTCTTTTTTTCTCTTTATATCGTCTAATAAAATCCGCGGCAAAGCTTTTGCCGCCCTTTCGAAAAAGAAATAGATAAAGCTTCTCTAGCGACAGCTATATTATTGTCTGGATGCAACTCAAAAGGAGCTAAGGTCTATTACCTGATTGAAAAAACAAAATGAAAAGAAGAAAGACAAGTGTAACTCTTTCAAAGCCAGTTAACTAGACGAAAGACATGTCCGTCACATTACTCTGCTTGCTGGCCATCATTCCTCATACACTCTTTTGTACAGAATTGGCTCCTAGGAGCAGAAAATGGACCTAGAAAAAGGAGCACTGAGACCGGGGACGTGCAAAATCTTTACCTAGGCTAATACATCAAAGACCTTCAAGAAAGCGGGCAAATAGGTGGCAGATCCCACAAGGAGTCAGATGCATCATTTCCTGCGTCAAAAAGATCCTTGTCCTGAGCTCTGTCCATGCCGCCGTGGGGTGACGCAGAGCTCTTCTTCTCCAGCTTAATCTTGTCCACCTCTGCGACCACCAAGCAAGCATTCTTATTAGCCATGTCGCAGCCATCCGAAGGTGTTATGCTGGTGGTGTTGAGTGCCCATGATCGTTCATACTGTTGTGCGGCTAGCTGGAACTCCTCGCCGCCTCCGTTGACCAAGTATGGCCTATAAGCTTCCTCAGCCATGCTTTGAGCAGGGAGGATGGGAGTGCGGACGCCATGGCTGCTCATGGCGAAGCTGACGATGCTGGAGCTAGGACTGCTACTTGGACTGATGCTACTAGTGGTCGTGGTGATGGTGCTGGTGCTAGTGGTGCTGGCTGCGGTGGCTCTGGCGACGTCGCAAGCAGCACGACGGTACGCCGCTGCTGCAGGGAAGAAGTTAACGGTGTGCTGCTGCTGGGACGCCGCGTTGTTCTTCTTCATCCTCTTGTGGTTGAGGATGCCACGGATCCTCGCCGCGAGCGGCGAGTCCGGCAGCGAGGCGTGCGCGCCGGCGGCGGCGAAGTTGGTGCGCGTGTTGGCACCCCGGAGGAGGCAGGCAGCCTCGTCGTAGGCCCGCGCGGCCTCCTCGGCGGTCTCGAACGTGCCGAGCCACATCCGGATCTTCTGGGTGGTGTCCTTGATCTCGGCCACCCACCTCCCTGATGGCCTCTGCCGGACGCCCACAAACTTGCTGCCGCCACTGCCGCCACCGCCACCACCGCCGCCGGTGCTGGCGCACTTGGTTCTCGTTCTTGGCTTGGTTTCCTTTGTGGCTGCTGGCGGCTGGTGGTAGCTGCTGTACTGCTGCTGGGGATGGCTTTGTGGTGGCTGCTGGAACTGGAGCTCCATTGGGAACAGGAACAGGAGCAGATGGAGAGCGATCTTTGCATGCGCTGTGAGAACTCGATGTGGTCTGAACTTTGGGGCAGGGGATGGTGTCTGAATTTAAGGGGGGAGGGCGTGGTGCTGAGATGATGCTGGGTGTAGTGGGGGCCTTGTCATGTTCTCCTTGTCTCTGATGTCCAAATCTTCCTAGTGCCAAGAAAGGTGTCTGAGTATTCTAAGAGGGCGCATTGCATTGGGAGCATGATGCTGTATCCCGTAGCGTATTTCAATGTTTGATGTGGTCGTAGTGGTTGACATGTTTGGTGTTTACCCTGGTTGACAAACTCAACTCTTTGTTTCCGGCTGTGAAACAAGCTTGGGTGATATGTTTGATGCTTCAATCGATGTGGTAACCATGGGCTCCAAATTGACCCCACCCCTTGGTAACTGTGGGCTTGGAGTCACAAAGAATAGCTGAAGCATAGTTGTTCACTACGCATGGAATTTTATCGTCGGCAAAATCCTTTTGTTGCTGAGTTCTTGAGTTGAAACCCCGTTTTTATAAATGGGAAAATCTACTAGTATGTGATAACAATGCTGTTGAATTCCTTCTAGATTAAAATGCTTTGTTCATTCTTCAGGTCAAGAATATTCATCTAATGATTCGCAAGGAATTATCTATTATATTAATAGTGTTTCTGCAGGCCTTTGGCACTTGCTGGTTCCATGAATTTTGTATGAGATCCACAGCTTCAAAAAAAAAAATTGTGCTGGTTACTGGTCACTTTATATATGTATATATATATGTGTGTGTGTGTGTGTGTGTGTGTGAAATGTGCCCAACTAATGTTTTTGCAGTTAGGTTGTAATGAAACCCCTCCCGCCGGCACTGCATTACCGTTCACCTGCTTCAAATGCTTAGTATCTTATTAGTGTACTAATATCTGCTTTGTCGCTAACTACCTGCTTGCAGATATTTTAAACGCCATGCCATCATCTTCCCCACAACCATTTGCCACTTGGCGGCGCCATCCAAAGGTTCATGTTACTGCTTGACGACATGGGTGCCTGTCAGAGATTAAACAAGAAGATAGCATCGCCAAGTAATTAAAGAATTAATTAAAGAATGGAAATGTGGTTAGCCACAAGGCACTGATCTGCAATGTGCAATGTGACCGAGGCATGATAGGGTTTATTTATGGTGGGTCAGGTCAGGTGCACCAAGGAGATGCCGGAGACATGGCTCCCATGTCTGAAGAAATGTTCATGGTGGGTGCTTCGTTCAGCTGGAGTGGCCGGTTTTAGAATGTTTGACCCGGGTTGCTGTAAACTTTGTTAAGTGTTGTTTGGTCGAAGATACTGCGAAGAACTTTGATTGTAAAGTGGTAGTCGTGTAAGGTTTCAAGTAGTTTCAGTTGTTTACCCTGTCCTTACATTGCTTTCTGAATTCAGATTCTGGCTGCAATTTGTGAAATGGAGTCACAGGAGGTTACTCTCTTCAGTCACAAATACTTGATATATTTGACTTCGCATGGTATTCAATTCGTATCTTTTGATCACTAATCTCTTCTAATAAATATAAAATCTTTCAAATATAATAAATTTTGCAAATATTTTGAATATAAACTAACACTTATAACTTATACATTTCTAAACTATAAATAATGTAATAGCTATAATGTTTGTAGTTTTTCAGGTTTGACTCCTAAACATAAATAGAAGTTTTGTGGTAGAGGGAGTACCAAAGTTTTGTTTATGTAGAGCATATTTGTGTGTTCGAGATGACAGTTTGCAAGCTAATGGAAAACATGGCAGGTGTGGCAGTCAAACTGCTGGTGACTTCAAAACATGGCGAAGTTTGAGCATGGCTCAATGGCTGGTTAATCAATGTTGAGAGATGTGGAGGTCAAAGTTAGTGGACTCCATCTCAATTAATATAATGGAAACGAACAACATTCTTGTTAAACTAATGTAGTGCCGGCCAGAAAGTTTCTAGAGCCATCAAGGTTTCGTGGGAAGGCCTGTTGAAACAACCGCAGTATATATATCGATTTTCTTAGTGTCTCTAAAAAGTTCCAGAACGTCTCATGAGGGAGTATATAAATTACTCGCCTTCTCTGTTTCTCAGTAGTCAACTAGTCGGTAACGCCCTGTGCCCCTGTCCGGCCGGCCAAGATTCTTTATCCCGGACTTACCAGGAGGAAATTTCAGTAATAATAGTATGCATTACCTAGTGCTGAACCTGTTGGCCAATTGGATCCTGAGCTGTGGCCGGCCTTACTTTTTTTTTTTTTTGGCAAGCATAGAACACGTACACGTACGTAGGCTGTAGGAGTGACATGTGTGTTCTTCTTGTGCCTCCTTATGTCAATTCCATTGCAGCGTCATAGCTTGCAGCAACACCCGACGGTCTCAATGCATCAATCCAATATTTTTCCTCTCTTGAAAATATTATTAGGTCTGTTTACAGAAATTTCATCAAAATTTTATAGGAACTAGTTCAATTTCATAGAAAAAATGTAGAATTTAGGGAAAAAAATTCCTGCGTCTCAAATATAAGCATTGTCTTGAGATTCTCTGGCGCTTTGGCATCTTTGTAACTTCTCTTGTTTCTTAAAAGGTTCGGACTCTGAGATTTGGGTTGGGTAGCAAAATCGAGTCAGACTTCTTCTATCTTTGGTTAAGTTTATAGAAAAACGCATCAACATTTATAAACATCGAATTACTTTAGTTAAATTCTACATGGAATATGTTAAAGTTGACAAATTTTATTTAAAATGAAGTTAACGAACTATAATTTAGAACATATATAGGGTTCGTAGCAAGGCTAAAGATACAAAGGCGTCTAGTTAGCAAGAGCTAGCTGGTTCATACATAGAGCAAGAGGAATGTTTATTGGAGACTGTAAACATAGATCCTAGAGATGAAAAGACAACCGTGTACCGTATTTGGATTGTGTCGTGAGGATTCATGCCATGAGCGTCCGTCCTGTCCGGACGGACCGCTCCGCACGCCCTGCCCGCGTAGCCTGTGCCGCTCGCTTCGCGTGCCCCGCGCCCCCGCCCGCCTGCGCCATTGCTCGCTCCCGCACCCGTGGATTCTCACCCCGCCTGCCGTGGCCATCTCGCAGGGCCACCTCCATCGCGCCAGTTCGCCGCGCCGCCCGCCCATGTTGCACTGAAAGAGTATGTTGCAAACGTACGTGTCAAGTGTTTCAGATGTTTCAGAGGTATGTTGCTAAGGTAGATCTCATATGTTGCACATGTTGCATTGGTTATACACGTATCTCAAAGTGTATGTTACGAATGTTTCATCGGTTTTAACATATGTTGCAAGTGTTTTATCTGCATGTTGCGCTTATTGCAAATGGCTATGTTGCAAGAGTATGTCACGAATGTTTCATCTGTTTCAGACATATGTTGCAAGTGTTTTATCTGAATGTTGCATATACTATTTGCAAATGGCTATGTTGTAAGTGTATATTCCGAATGTCTCATCTGTTTCAGACGTATGTTGCAATTTGTTTTATCCAAGTGTTGCAAAAGTACATCTAGATGTAGGTGTGAAGGAAGCCCAAGCCCTCGGTGGTCTAGCTACGACGGCTCCCCTGGTGTGGCAAAGATGGAGGCCGCGGACACGGGAGCAGCGGGGACAGGATGCTATGGTGGATCGGCCGGGATGGGGAGCGGGATGGGCGTGGGCACGGCGCACCGGGCGAGATGTGGAGCAGGATGGGACGCGGTGAGGGAGCTGCATGTATCGGGCGGAGGCGCGGGAGCTCCAGAACAAACGGAGGTGTGGGGCGAAGGGAGCTGCATGCATCGGGCGTCGGCGCAGGAGCTACATCCGGACGGACACCGTGACCAAACGTCTGGGCGCTAGTCGCACCATTCACGCTATAGTTTTCATTGTGAAACCTTTTTCACAATAAATTCATTGACAAACTCATGAATGTCACGTAATGGTTTCCTCTTGAAGCAAATACAATGCACACTATAGCATCTGACAAGTTGAGTTTATATAAGAATAATAATGGTTCCTCTTAAGAATGATACTATCCTTGATGACCACCATTTGTTATGGAGTGGCGTACATAGCGTTGGAAAATAGCACTGATATAGTAGGCCGTTTCCATTGATAGAGTAGGTAAGGAAAATGCAACAGAGCAAGGAGGCTATGTAATCAAGAAAATAAATAAACACAACCTATGCATAACAATCCAACAGCTAATGAACGGCACTCACGCTTTTCATTGGCACAAAGAGCCATATGCTACAACAATACCACCTTCATTTCTTTTTGAAAAGGAATACCACCTTTATTTGAGAGGCCAACATTAGTGCACGCGACAAACATCATAATTCTAGCCATTGTCAAACTGATAATGCTACAACTACCCTCCACCATATCATCAACCTCCAACTGCACTAAGGACCTTGGAGGTTGATGATAAGGACCCACTAGCATATATATATATATATATATATATATATATCTCTCTCTTCACACTGCCTCTCAATGCCCATGCGGCTATTGCCGCCGCCGCCTTCTGTCACAACTCACAAGGCTTAAGCCTCGTGAGAAAACAAAGCTAAACGAACTAAGGTCTATTTAGTAGGAATCTAGATGTTTTTAGAAATGTTTTGAATTCAGATTCTGTCAAAAACTTTTTGGACAATGAAACAGAATCACTTTGTCAAACCGTTTGCCTACTAGACTGGTGGATTAGGATCCACAACAGAAAATCATATAAATAGAAATATGCTTCAAAAAAACCTCAATTTTTTTTGTGGGTGGAGAATGACTTAAATGCAACCCATTTTAATTTGTTGCAACAAAAAAAGAAATAAAAAATAAAATGCAATTAATAGAAGTGAAAGGAGGCAAAAGAAACGGTACTAGAACCGTTTGTGCAACCATCATGTAGCCGATTACAGTTTCTAGGCAAAGAAGGAGAAATGTTTCTAGGCTGAAACGTTTGATGTTTCACCATTTGGTCATTTGGCACAAATTTTTGGATTCCA